TGAGCCTATCACTCATTTTTCTTTACTTTCACTCAACATGCATCAGTTCACACAAATCAGATTTAAAAAATCCTTAGAGCCATACAGTAACAATAGACGTTATATTTTGGGCTTTGTAGAGTATGAGCACAACAAAATATGATTCGAATTTAAATCCATTATGCATCCTGTGGCCTTTTGGCCACAAACGTCCCCTTTGAAAATTACCCTTTGAGTAGTGTCATTATCATTCGCTTCAGTACATAGCAGGCAAAGACATTCAAAAACACTCTGGATCATGCGCAAAACTTGGTGAGTGATCTTAAAACTTTTCAACTTTAAAAATCAGCACTCAGGTTTTCCCCATCAAAGAGGCTGTTTTTACTGTGCATTAGTTGCATTTTCTCTCTTAAGTGCAGCTTAAAAAGAGTTTCAATCACATGGTGAGAAAATAGATTTGCTCTGTGCGCCAAAGTTTTTCAAGCTCTGTACCTGCACAAGTGTCAACTCTTAAACCTGTAGTTATCATTGTGCTAATTTCCTTTAAAAAATATGTTGAGCATCAGAACAGATTTTTCATACACAAAGCAGAGTTTTATAATAAAAAAAAAATTCAGGTTAATTCTGAGGTGCCATAATTGCTAGCCATTACATTCTCATTACCGAGGGAAAGAAAGAGTAGAAACACAAGCTGCTGCTTTGTATATAAGATTGAGTAGAACGCCGACAAATATGATCAGATTTCAGAGGTCAACCTGTACCATCCACTTATTTTAGTTTTTTTTTTAGCTGAAAGCTGCAACAGGCCACCAGTGAAGACGGCTTCTTTGAAGGCAGATTTGAGGGGGGGATCTTAAGGATTCATTTGGAAATAAAATTAATAAAAACAGTGCCTCCTACACACTAACCAGGAGAGTTTTGGACACTATGCTTCCCCTGGCTTGAGCAGTCCATGTTGTAGGAAAAGTGAATCTGGTCATTATTTCCATGAAATGTAAGGGTATTGAATCTTTTTTTGTTTCCTTCTTACAGTGGCAAATCTATTCCAAAAATAACAACCAATTGCAGGCTGATATTTCGAATTGAAAACAAAATACTCTCTAAGCAACCATGAAATAACTGAGTAAGTCTGACTACATGGTCAATTTCACCAGGGAGGCCTGTAGTTAAGCATTAAATTGTTAGATTTCGTAGACATCAGGAAGGGTACTGCACAAAAGTACAAGAGAAAGGAATAATTGTAGGAGCATTGCAACGGTACCTACAGTACACAATCAAATACACAACAGTACTTAAGCAGAAAAGTCAACAGAATATCCAGTGCATAACATAAAACTAAAAGTGCTCAAACATTTTCTGTACTTACACAAAAGAACTGAGTACTTCTTAATGACGATTTTAGAGGGAAGATTTCAAAAACAGCAGACAAATTCTTCATTTGAAAGAGGATTTTATTTTCCCCAAAAGATGTGTAATCACAGCATAACGGGTTTAGAAATGTTTTGAGTCCGCAACATACTTCTCAATACCACACATCATTTAGTATTCATCGATCATTTTCCTGCACCAGCATACAGTACACCTGCATTGCTTAATCACTGTAAATGAAAACCGATTCTGAGAAAGTAAAAAGTACCATAATGCAAAAAAAACCTGAACCTATAAACCAAGAGTTAAAGCTACCACTTATATTTATCTCCTCTACATATTTAGTGATTTTAGTCTCTCTACAACAGTTGGACTGTTTCTAACGATCCTCCCCACCTCACGTACCTTTAAATTCCTGGAGACAGTGGTAATATACACAGCAATTTTAATTTTCTTGGTATGACATCCATACAGTCACCATATGAGCGATCAGCTTCACTGACATACTCCCTTCAATCTCAACCATTACTTCATCAAATTTAAATGAACATATGTTTAGAATTTGATTGAGGGTTACAAACAAAAGCCTCCAATTTGTTTATTATATTGGAACAGGATTACTCATTTTAGAGATTACTCCACTACTGACTCGGGAACATATATTTCCAATGGTTGTACTCTACACATATCGCCCCCACTGACACAATTTGCAGTACAGCACCAACCCAAGGCAGCAAAATGTGATAGTAAGTGCAGGACTAACACAGTCAGCGTTGTTTGAAGCAGAAGACACATTTCTGGTGCTGTCAAACTTAGAGATGAAGGGTGGGGAGGGAGGGGTAAAAAAAATCATATTTCAGGAGACTGAAAATAGTAAGGACATTGTAAATTATGCACTGTGCCCCCACTGTGCTGCTGTCAACTTGCAAGAAACAGACTATCCCTTGCTTTTAGAAATAATTAAAGTGCACAGTGGTTTGCAGCTTAATTTAAGCCAAAACCCGGATTTCATAGTAACAAAAATAATGAGACATTTTTAATTGTGTGTCAAGCAACGAGCCAATCACAAAAAGAAAGGGGGTTGTTAACATTTAGAGGCACACAGCTGCCAGTCTAATGAGTTCTCATCTCACAGCCTCATCTGCTACTGTATCTGCTTTCACCTTTGTTTTTGATCTAATAAAAAAAGAGACGGTATTATCCACATTTGCACTGTGTATATCTTTACTAATTTCGCTGGATCTCATTTACTTCCAAGTACTTTTTCGAGATGTGGGGCTCAGCATCATAATCATATGGAATGCCTGCCAGTCCAAATTAGGAACACAAACTGTATGGGACAGATGATTAAGATACTCGTCCCATGGGAACTAGTTAAAGATCCAGGGCTGGCACAAGCAAGGAAAACACCACCCTTTTCGCGCTACATTATTACCGACCTACTTTGTGCCAGATCCTCTGTAGAGTTCTACATTGCATATTAACGCACAGACACGTAAATGTATTAACTCCCAGCTTCGACGATGCAAAGAAGACGATGTCTAATTTTATCTCAGTTCCGTTTCCATTGCAAAGGTACAAATTATTTTATGGCCGTCACTGCTACAGAAATTAACAATGGTGCCAGGGATAAAAAAAAAATCTTCTTCTAAGCCAGTAACAACGTAAATGACCCTAACTCAAAGGCACGTCTGCTAATTACCCTAAGCATGTGCCGCCAGTTATAAAACATACAAATAAGATACTGCACGTTGCAGTACTTTCCGCGGTTTTGTTATGCAGATTATTTCCAGTGAGAATTATTAACGCGATCTGTCGTCCTCTGCTCGGAAAGGTGGCTGTCTGCCAGCAGCCAGACCAAATTCCTAAGGTATTAAAATACAAGAATGGGACGCGGATTTTAACATAAACCCAGGAAAATAAGGAAACTGAAGAAAACAAGGAAGCGAGATGACGGAGCGCAAACCGGACTTCAATTTGTACCTTGACCTGAACTATCGCTATTACTAGCAGTTGTGCAACTAAAGGCCTGCTGTAACTCTGGGGGTGTTTCCGTTTATTACCTGAATACCTCATTAACAAGGGTGCTGCTGGCTGTTTCCGACAATGAGCACAGCGTTTTTATGGTCGCACCTAAAACACCCCCCGACTAACAATCAAAAACCTCACAATGGCCATAAAACCCCTGAAGTAGGTTTTACTCCGCATACAGGAAATCAATGAAGATGGGCTTAAACCGAGTGTAATTAATTCTCCAATACGAAATACTGCCTACCAAGCAAGTTGCCCTTCGCTCTGAAACTCCTAGGTGTGGTACCGTATTCACCCTAAATGTCCGGCTTTATGTGAGCCTGCGGTAATGTCAAAATCTCAAGATTTGTAAACCATCGCCACGTCTTGCAGAGTGCAAGATCCAAAGTACGAAAGGATTTTCCTGTACGCACCAGACACCTCTCCACCCTGCCCTCTGATCCGCTCATTTTCAGAGCAGTGTGGTGGTGGTTGTTTTGTTTTTTGCTTCACCAACATTAACGGGAGAGTCGTAGTAACGTTTCTCCTCGTTGTCTTCAATTGCTGTGCAAAACGGTAGCACCAGAAAGTGCGATACAAGCCCAGTAAAATGACTCCGGGAGCAGCGCCGGGTCAACAGTGCGCACACACACCGCGTCAAACGGGTCAGGGTCAGACCGCCGCCTTCGGGAAGATGAAAAGGCTCATTCCTGGTGAAGACCTCGCTGTTTTGTAGCAACACCGGCCGAAAGCATGAGCCCAGAAGAGGAGAGCATGATCGAAGCCGATAATGCGCTACTCCCGGTCTGTCACGCCGAACCCTTGTCCCGTTAGCTGTAATTGGAGATAAGTTTCTTTTTTTCTCTTCTGAGGGGCTGGGAGCAGTGATTTACACAAATAAATGAATGCATGGAGGGATGCTCTCTCTCTCTCTCCATTTTTCCATTCACGCCTGAAAGGAGGATAGCAGACCCCCGTTAAGATACTTCACCAGTTCGGTCCCAGATCTTGTCAGGCCTGACAATGCGTTTCAGTGCACGAAACGACTGAATTTATACTGCGACAGGCAGACAGACGCGCTCCGTGGTTACCCAGCCAGTGCTGGTGTCTCCGATACTGGGGAAAGCTCACCGCACTGGAATCGCAACCACTACCATCGACAGCCCTAACTCACGACGTGGCAAGGGTCCAGAAACCGGCGTTGGGCACGGAAGGGAAAACTCCTACCGGAACTTCATTCATAAAGAAATAACAAATAATTGCTGTTGGCGTGACGGCATTTCCCCAGTACCCCGAGCCCAGCTTTCGGGAAATTAAGTGGATTTTCAGCCTAATTGTTTCAACAGCTGCGCACAAATTGACCGCTCTATGAAAGGGGGCACCGGGCGTCTAAAAATCAGTTAACTTTGACATCTTGAGAACCCCTTCAACAGACCCTACTTCCTCTGACTGGGACGTTGGTAAAACTAACCTGGAAAGTGTATAAGTACACCACCCCATACGGCGCTCATGGCACACTGTTGCACGGTACGGCCGACCACACGTTACGGCAGGAGCCCCACCAGTTGGCCGCCGCGACACCAAGTGACTGAGCAAAGTTGTGCGCGACGACTCGGCGGTGACCACTAGCCTGACTCACTCACTTGTCATACTCCGCGTTGTCCCTGTCACAACGTGCGTCCTTGTGTTTCTGCCAGTCCTTGCCGTGCTTGCAGGTGGTCAAAAGGACCACGTCCTCCGCGTTGTGGACATGGTATAAGGCATTCCTCGTGTCTGACCCGATGCCGGTCAAGTACCTCTTCCCCTTAAACACCAGCATGTATTTCCTGAAGGGGGGGATGGAATTGTACTTCAGATACCCCCGTTCTCCTCCTGTCCTGGGGTGATCTTTGGAAAACAACGGGATGGAAACGTCGAAGCCGGGTCGGAAGTTTTCGGTCCCGATGCTGGCTTTCGCCAGCATAGCCTGACCAATGTCGAACCCGAGGTCTTCCGTGTAATCCGGCCACGTACCCGAATACAAATTAAAGATTAGATGGTTCCTACCGTTGCTCCACAGGTGAAGGTTTTGGACTTTTGTTTTTAAATTATGCACGTACTGAGGGGAGAGCTGGTCTCTGTCCAAAGTATCCAAACTTAAGACGAACAGGCAAGCTTGGCTGGGATCTGAAGTATAAAACCTGGATCCCTCGATGGCTGACAGAATGTTTTGGTAACTTTCCGAGATTTTCTCCCCTTTTTGCTGGGGGTAGACGTAAACTTTGAAACCGTTTCGCTGGCACAGCGAGAAATCAAAGCAGGAGTCCATGCGACACCTCTTGCCTTTGTACACGCTGGAATTGGCGTCCCTCTTCTGCCTCGGGGAAATGTGCATGTTGTAATCCACGTTTTCCAATCGGTCCCAGGGAAAGAAAGATTGCAAATGGTCTGAGAAGTGGGGCCAAGGCTGATTCGGATGGAAACCATTTCTGCTGCGATCGTCACGCCGGCTCTGGTTTCGCTGAGCAGGAACTTGAAAACCTCCAACGTAGAACAGTAGAACAAGACAGGCGCCGGCGGAGAGCAGGATTAAATAGCGTTTTTTGGCCTGCATGTGTCCTACTATCTGGGTCGAGATGTTTGCAAATAAAACCAAAAAGCCCCGAAGTTTCGCTCTCACCACCTCCAGCTCCTATCCGCCATCTTCCACCACCCTGCAAGGATTTCAAACTCTCGTCTTCCCTCTTCTTCTTATTCCGTTCCCAAATCCTGGGACCGATCCAGTGCATGTGGGCGACTTATTCTTTATCTTTCCCCTCTTCTATCTATCATTGTTAGAGCGCGCCGCTGGTATATTGCCCAAGACGTAAAGAAGAGGCGCTACTAAGCAGTCGCACAGAACAGGCGCGCCTCCAGCCCGTAGCCTGTTCAGATCTTGCCGAAATGGACTAACTCCTTCCACAGTGGGCTGATGGCTCGTGTTCTGTACGCATCCGAGAAAAGCGACACACAGTCTCACTGCAAACTCATGTACACGCCGCCGGCAGGGATTATCAACAGCCGTCTGGTATCCGTACAGAAGGTACCCGCTTGTTCGGTTCCTTAGGATCATTCCATGATTCTGGCAGGAGAGGCTCGCCGTCTATTTAAAACACTGTAGCCTCACAAATCCCTGCATTTCTCTTAATTTTGAGAACAATCCCACCACCAAGAGACATCGGCTCGCATCTACCGGGTGAGCCTGTTTGAGCTCGGCAAGTAAAACAAGATGTTGAAAGTCCCCCAGCTGCAATTTCGTCACTGTGAAGGAATCCAAAAAGAGAGTTTAAACTGCAAAGTCTCTGACCCCAGTGTCCAATTACCGAATGCTCGGCGGTTCCGATTGTTACTCTTTAACATTCCAATCCAGACACGACGGCAGCTGGCGACGTCACATCACTACGCAACGGGCTTTCCCATTGGCTCGGCGTCACGTCCGGAGAGGGCGGCGCATCCGCTGCACCCATTCATAACCAAAGGCGAGCAAAAGAGAGGCGATTTTTTTTTTGTTTCTCCTTTTGGTCCAGGTGCATTTTTTACAAATATCATCTGTGCACTGTTAAGAATTGCTCCCAGCCCAGATTTGCTTTTTGCCAAATAAACAACTTGTAAAATATTTTAGATGGATTTTTAAAATAAAACTCAGCGTTTATTATTAAATCAGTTTCGATAGTAATTAACTTAATTAAGGTGGACGAATTTTATCCTTCTTTTTTTATTAATATTGCCAGAGTACACCCATTCTAATCCAGAACTGTTTAACAGATTTCTAGTTCAGCACGCTAAAGTGAGCGATTTCAGCTAATTCTATCCAATCAACTGTAAGTTCAGTGCAGACCGGACTTCAGCTACTGTATGAGCGTTACAGTCGAGTCATATATAGACATTATACTTATAAAAACAATGTGCGGTTAAAGACAATAATCACAAATATTGTACGTGTAGGGCTTTCAGTAAACATTTATTCAAGCCAGTTTAGTTTTCAGACGTCTGTAGCAAAAAATATTACTAATAACAAACAGCTTTTCGAGAGAATCCTTTCCAATTCATGTCGCAATGCGTGACATCCCACTCCATATCTTAAATGGAATGTTGGAAGAGTTATTTATGTGTTAAGAAAACGAATGCATATGTGTAGTATTGATCTCACTTATACACTAAATGGGAAAAAAAATAGGTATAGTCTGTTTGCCTTGGGATATGTTAAATAACTGATTTTTTTCTGCTGAAATATGGTTGCCCTACAGCTTTAAATTTTTTGATCTTGGTTATGGTTCTGCCCTGGGGAGACGTCTGTAAGGAGGCTGCATGATGTGGCTGTGTGGGTTTCTCCAGCTGCTACAGTTTCCTCATACAGTCCAAGTACATGCAGTCCACATTAAGTGGATTTTTTTAATTGTTCCCTGTGTGAGTTATACTCTATGTACATCTCTGGCATCATGGTCAGAATGTGTCTTGTTGCCCATTTTCTGCTGATGGGCTGATTATTCATGGTAAAATAATGCAGGTACATTGCAAATAAAGACTTTATTGTGCATCTTGAATGTACTTGTTTTGGATATTCATAGTATTGTACACACCATCTTAAGTTTCAAATACAGTGGCTAGAGATGAGGACAGAGGAATTCCATTGTATTAGGAAAGAAAATTAAGCAAGACATCACTAAGGTAAATGAAGTCAATAAGCAGTTTTCAAACCTGTCTCGACACTTACAAATGTACATACAGGGGATGACCCAACCATAAACAATATGATAATTCAAAGACAAAATATTTTCTGAGAGAAATGTACTTCCTATATTTCTTCATCTTTAATGCTTCAGAAGGTGAGGCACAATGATAACTGACAAAAGCATTTTCCTATCATTCATAATATAACTTCCACTGTCATGGGAATTCCAGATATCTATAAACCACAGCATGCTTAAACAAAAACTAAGATGCAATTGCAAAAGTGTTCTTTGGCAATCTGTTTTGAAGGATGCTATACCAAATAAAAAACTGAAATAAACCGAATATTGGGTGCACAACAGCTCAAACGTCTCTGAACATATATATGTTTTTCTCCAAAATAGGATACAACAGTGCTTATTTTTTAACCCTTATAAACAAAGATGGTTTGTAGTCCAAAAGTAAGACGTTAAACAATTTAAATTCCAAACATAATTAAGGACAGCAGCAGTCATAATACATTTTATGAAGACCAAGGTCTGTTCTATGTGGTCACCCCCTATGCTGAGAATTACTCATAAGAGACTGGTTGTGTGCAGCCTGCAATGTATCAAGTTCCACGTGCATACTATTTCACAATTTAGAAATCCCAAACTGGCAAATACAGTATTTAGAACACAACACTGTCAGGGTGACTAATTAGCAATAGATGTACTTTCAATACCACCATCAACAAAACAAAATTATAATAAGTACAGAAAACAAGCCTGTTTTATTCATTTGTCTGATTTTTTTGTTCCTCCTGCAGACAGCGACACTTCCTTTCAGAATGTAGGCTCATTCTTCAAGACGACGATAAAAGCCCAAACTGGGCCACTGTGAATAAGAAACCTGGGCTCAGAATGAAAACAGAATCATAAAAGAATAGCAGACAAAGCAAACCTTTGATAATTTAGCTTCCTACTGAAGACAAATTTGATTATAAAAGAGGGTGGAAATGTGAGTAAAAAAGAAGCGAACTGATAAGCACGATGATGAAATCAAACTGTATTCAAAATCACAAGAGTCAGAATAAATAAAAAATTTAACATCTAATCGCCCCTGCCATATTGTTTTCTCTAAGTTTATACACTACAGTTCCAACCGTAGACGATATATAGCTAAATTACAAAACTGTAGCCATACCTAACACATTCAATAAGGTATAGGCCCAGTCTTTGGCTTAATGACTCATGCAGTTTCTTGGTTAACTTATTTGTGGAGAATCTTGTTCTGGGATCTGATCTGCCTCCCAGGCACAATAAGATGTTTCCACAAGCAGATCTGCCCCCAGGAAGAAACACTTTCCACAACATGTTGTTATGCAAATGTTACAACCCAGTAAACACATGTTAAATGCCCCCTGTTATTACGTATTCGCTTAGCAGACGTCCTTTTCAAGGGTGGCTTGCAAAATATTCCTTAATTCATAAAAAACAAACATAAATCCTATTGACAAATAAATCAGATTCACATAAAGTTGACAAATATGAGACGGGAAGAAAAAGAAAAACAAATCAGTCACATAGGTGCGTGTTAGCAGTGCAGAGCCTAGACAATGCTGAAGAGTGAGAAGACAATGCCTATGAAGCAATAAACAACAACTAAGTCAGAAATAAAAGATTACAGTTTAAAAAACAGAGTGACGTTAACCAGAATGGCAGTATCTGTTGGTGGTGAAACTTTACAACTAAGGCTAAATGTAACAGAGATAAGAGGTGCAGAATAAAATGAAACAACACCATAAGGTGGCCAAGGACTCTGCAGTTGTGATTTTAACACTTGCCTGCCAGGGACAAGAATGAATGGGCCCTGGAGCAGGGGGAATGGAGAGAAGCTACCGACAGTGTGAGGAAAAGCAAGAGGTCTGGCAGTAACAGAAGGTTTGATACTTTCACTGGCTTTCACCTGGATGATGCGACGGCAGCCATAGTGTGCCAATACGTTCACCACACATCAGCTACCAGTGGGGAGGAGAACAGAGCGATGAATGAGACCAATTCATTGATGGGGATTATTGGGAGGCCATGATTGATAAAGGCCAGGGGGAAATTTGGCCAGGGACACCACTGTTAACACCTGTCCTTTTTTCAAGAAACACCCTGGGATTTTTAATGACTACAGATTGACAGGACCACAGTTTTACATCCATCTAAAGGACTGCACTTTTTTTGCAGCATAGTGTCCCCGACACTATACTGGAGCATTAGGACCCACACAAACCATAGGGTAAGCGCCCACTACTGGCCCCACTAACACGTCTTCCAGCAGCAACCTATGTGTTGTGTGTGTCATATGTGTGCCATCCATCCATTTTTTTAACCGATTTATCTCAAACAAGGTCACGGGGGAGCTGGAGCCTATCCTGTCAAGCAACAGGCACAAGGCAGGCTACACACAGGAAGGGACACCAGTCCATCACAGGGCAGACACACACATACTCAAACTAATTTGGGGTGGGACAGTTTTTCCAGAAGCCAATTAACCTACTGGTATGTCTTTAGACTATGGGAGGAAACCAGAATACATGGTGAAAACCCATGAACATAAAACCTCCACACAGATAGCAGCCCTGGAATCAAACCCAGGAGCCCATCACTGCAAGACAGCCATGATAATAACAACAGGCCAGCATGCCACCTATGTAATGAGTACCATTTATCTTCTTTTAGTGTGGTTGGCCATACTGATTATTCAATTACCTGTAGTAGGAGAGACCCTTTAACATTAATTGTAATGCAAATATGGACTATTTTTGCACCCGAAATAATAGTAAAAAAGATTTACTGATTATGTCAGAAGTATTACTGATTAGGATGGGTAAAGCACATCACAATGCAGTATATTGTGTTGAAGAAGCATTCATATATCAAGCTGCCTACACCCATAATGAATACATGTGAACTTCCAATAATGTCAGTCAAGATGTCATTTGACCTTTAATCACATTTTTATTTGCCTGAAGTATTTTGGAATATATACAATCGCATACTGACAGCCTTGATGAAGTCAGAAGTTATGGTTCAATTAATTTGGTGATGTGTCAGCCCAAAGGTCAGTATAACATATCTAAAGTTATATCTCTGGTTGAGCTGTTGAAAATTCTAAATATATTTATGACAGCAACCATGGAATACATGTTGTGTTCAGAATGGAGCAGACACAGAAGGTCTTCATATATGTTGATGATCTTCTACTGCACAGCTCTGAGCTGACCCCCTTCCTCCCTTCAACTTTCTTCAACTTTTTCTAGGGTATAAAATTAATTTTCGCAGAACCATAAACATTTTCCAATCAACTAGGCTGCCTGCCAGACATTACAACTTTAATAACTTTGCCTTTGTACAATAGGTTTAGATACCTCAGAGATAAAGTGACCAACTCATATAATAATCTTTTCACTGATGAGCGTGGCCTGCTATTAGAAACGATTAATCAAGACTGATACTGCACTTGAAGGCTTACCCATTTTTATTACCTGGGTGGTTTGAAGTATACTTCCAGCCATAGTATGTTTTCTTTTGCAATTCTTCATCAAATGGTATCTCTGTACTATATATAAATAGACTTTATCAATAAGCAGCTAAGCACTAAATATGTAAGAAATGAGATCAGAATATTTGGCCTGATATCCCAGACATCATCTGGAATTATGTTTTATTCATCATATGTACCACTTCAGTCTGTGCTTGTTTGTCATAGACTAATGCAGCCAAGTTCTGCATGCTGTTCTAAAACGGATGAGGCTAAAAATCTTTTCCAAACTGGAGCCAGCCTCTGGCAGATGCAAACAAGCACCTGCCTCTTTATTCTATATGTTCTGGTTCTGTTCTTAGGTCATCTCATTTTCTGGTTTTCCATTTTTTTTTAAAT